CTTCTCATGCCCAGGTTGCAAGCAGCCGTTTGGAGAAGACACAGATTCCCGAACGCACCTGCGACATATTCAAATCGTGAAGGGCGCATTACGGCACGATGTAGCAGTTGCTGTAATATTACCGAAAAAGTAATCCTTGGGTTTCTGATCGATTGCATGCGCCAACCCGGTTTAAGCCGAAAGCAAAATGGTTGGGTTGCCACGGGACCGTTGGAATATATGAAATGTAATAGGTGCAAGGCAAGATTTGTAGAAGACGGAGATAAGGCTCCGATTTTACTACAAGGTTGCGGTCATTTGATTTGTCAGCAGTGCCACGGCAGAAGAAATGGATTTTGTTTGAAATGCCGGAGACCCGAACTGCGTATTTCAACGCTGAGCTTGATCGTACAATATGAATATAACAAAATGCGTGAAAAACATGGAGAACAGATTTTGGGCAGATTTTTGACGGAAGAAACGATAAGGAAGAATGAATGTTATGTCTGTGAATTGGAATGTAATGTGGAGGACAGTAGAGCTCCGGACTTAACGAACCTGCGATAGTTGATATGCTCAAAATGCAGCCCTGGACGTCGATTTGTACTATAAAATGTCTGCTATGTGGACAAGATTTTGAGAAGCATCAAGAATTGTAAGAAATACGGTTTTCAAGAAGCTTGTCGCAGACAACCCAGAGTTGTGGTCGGATTGGAGAAGGCGGGACACGAACGGAAGTGCTCACTACTCCATGGCTCACCGTTTTCAGCCCGGGCGCCGTAAAACCATGATGTTGTGACTTTGTATGATGTATGTATTGTATGTTTAGGATGGATGCGCCAGGCGGCTGGATCAATATGAGAAATGCTTCGAATCGTACCTTCCGCATGCCAGATCTACAATGACCATTTGGAGAAGCTGCAAAAACAATCACAAATTTTATGCAAGCCTTTAAGCTTGGAATAATTATTTTGCAGGCTTTCAAGATTTTGAAAACGCACTGGCCAGTCCACTACAGAAATTTCTCAGCATTTGTCAGCAGAAAAATTACGCCGGCCATTCAAACACGGAACGTCGTCAAATTCGATCGATAAATTCTAGAGACTCTTATGTTTTTAGACAAAATCCAGAGGACGAGAGAAACTTACGAACATTCGTAAGAGAAGGTCGATTTGGTGAGGTCACCTGCTCGGGACATGAACAGTGGCCGCATTGATTTTTATACGGATTGATACGTATTTCGGTCCTCCGACAGACCTAGACCTACCGGCCCATTTCATTGCGCCTAAAATGGCCGATCATGGATGATGGTCAGACTCTGCCGACTGCAACCAGCCGCCCCTCTCCACTTTTCGTTCTGATGTCATCATTTCATTATTTTACTCCCTCAACCTCTCTCTCAAATCTCTCTCTGTATCTCTCTCTTTGCTGACACCCTTCGGGCTCAACTACCCTAATTTATTTTTTTTACCGATCGTCACACATGATTGTCCATCCCTGGTTTCATTTTATAGTTGTCATTAGTTTTTCTATGCAGTTTCGCGGCTTGAAACGAAAGTAATTTTGTAGGCCTCGACAATGCGGCTTGACTGCCTGACTTGCCCGGACTGCAAAGACCCTTTCGGGAACGAGATCGATGGGCCGAAGCTGCCGCTAGCCTTCCGAGGTGATCACGGAATCGTGAGTGTACGATGCATGAGCTGTTATTACCCAGACGACGCGGTAATTCTACGATATATCGTTGAAACCCTGCAACAACCCGGCATCGTCAGGTCGAACAAGGGCTAAGGTTCGCCCTACGCCCCACTCGAATTTATGAAGTGCCAGCGTTGCAATGCAAAAATTTACGGAAAACGGAGCGAACGACCCGATTTTACTGCAAGGTTGCGGCCACTTGATTTGTCAGCGTGTGTGACCGGAATCGAGCCGGTTTCGCGCCAGGTGTCAAAAGTTCAGGAGCCATTCACAAACACGGACCTGTCATTGCGCATCACACATCAACGACTCGTCACAAGACAACGCGAGAAAATCTTGGGTCGATTTTTGAGCGACGAGGTGGTCGAGAAAATGAATGTTTTCGTTGCCATCAGGATTGCAACGTGGCGGCAGGCCGGGCGCCAAACGTTTTTCTGCTGTGAGAACCTGATCTGTGAAGCCTGCTGCGAGCACGTGAACCCAGAACTAGGATGCTGGCTGTGCCGACAAACCTTTGAGAAGCACCGCGAGTGGGGACGAGTAAATGTTTACAAGGATATTTACGCCGGAAATAATCCTCAGAATCGGAGCGGAGCCTGTGAAAAGGTAGAAGTGGATTCAGAAGTCAAAATTGGCATCGACGTTCCAATCGAAGCTCAAGAAGAATCCAGGAAAAAGCCAATGTACATCTTGCAAGAGCGAATGCTTAGCCTCAACCCTGATCGTTTGCGTACAATGCGATAATCTGACTTCAGTGCGGATCATGCGCGGTATTGCACCATCTTGGGCATGATTTGGCTCCGTTAAAGAAAGTGGAGGCGGCTAAGCTTGAAGCCGGAAACAACTCGTCAACTGACTGTGCTATACCGAGGACTATTTTCTAATATCAATGGTGTGAACGAAGCGGTTTCAAAAACCAAGAAAAAATTGTTGAATAACGCCGAAGATGGTCTGGCAAAAGTTGGCTTGCAACCCAATTTCGAAAAAAGCAGTCAAATCTGTGATGGAATGCGCCAGGCGGCTGATCAGTATGAAAAATGTTTCGAACTGTACCTCCCGCATGCCAGGATCTACAACGAGCATCTGGAGAAGCTGCACGAAACGATTACCAATTTTATGCAGGACTTTAGGCTTGAATAAATTGTTTTTCAAAATCGTTAATGGACCTACAATTGCACAGGAAATAAGCGTGAGAGAGAGAGAGCGAGAAAGAGAGAGATAGAGAGGGAGAGAGAGGCGTGATAGAAGGAGCAAGGCAGTGAGTGACAGAGAGAACAATGAGCGCTAGCTACCAAAAATCAAACGTGTCACCTCAGCTACTCAAGTTTTATTCATCCTAAGTATAGCACCGCTTCGAACCGTTAATTTTGCATATTTTCTGATCAGGCCATATCTCTTGGTCCTGGATCTCCGTAGCTTTCATAGAGCTTCACCATTTTCATGCCATACTCGTCCGCAAGAGCGAAATGGTCTTTGGAAGGAAATTTCGAAACGGTTCCCTCATCCTCTTCCATTCTCTTACGAATGGGCGAAAGATGTGAGCGTCGACGTACTCTTCAGATATATTTGCCTGAAATATAGAGGTCGTATCGAGAGAGGTAGAGAGAGAGGGAGCGAGAGCGAGAGCGACAGAGAGAGAGAGAGAGAGAGAGAGAGAGAGAGAGAGAGATGAAAAAAGCTTACTTTCGCATCAAGTTGCAAAATCTTCATTCGATCCAGACGATTTCCGACCCTGTTCCACTCGCCGATTCGGATGGCGCGATCTTGGCTGGAAAATAGCTATTCAACCTGGTCATATATGAAATCTTTAGGCCATTTGGAGTCATGCTAGCAGAGAATTCTTAGGAATTATCGAAACACTGTGAAAATAGCTCATTTTCACTTTCTCACGAAATTGTCTAATCCTGGCAATTCTGGTTTTTCTCGTGGCGAGAAGGCTAGCAGGGGACCTTGCGGAATTCCAAGCTATATGTGAAATTTTTGAGGCTAGATTGAAGTTCAGTTTTATAACAACCCACTTTTTTCTTCCACGTGTACAGCCGATAGGACATCAACGTCTGATCACTGGACCACATCCGATTTCTATGCAAAGTTGTCAACCCGTTCGCGTTTTGGTAAGAAGCTAAATTAAAAACAAAACCTTAACAACGAACTAGAAGATACCTTCCTTAATATCTTTAGCGAAATTCTTATAAATATCCAGTTCCATCGAGACGACATCTTCATATTTCACGTTGCAGGGGGCTGAAAGTGGCGTAAAAAGACGACTCGCTTTAATAGCCCTTGAATTTTTTTGATAAAATAAACTCTTTGAATGACAAAAATAACCTTAACGTAGAAAAATCATTAACTTACCTAAAATCTCCCGTAATACGCTGACTCTAAATGCCATCGAAACCACGGGGAGGTGCGGAAATTGCTGCCCATTCAAAGTGTCGTACCCGCAACATTTTGAATTGTAGAAAAACATCTAAAACAATCAGAAACCATAAAATACAAGCTTTTTACATCCATCCCGTCAGCCCAGTAGCGCTGGAGCTTAAATGGCAGATAATCTGAATCGGAGAACATGATGACGTCATCGGGCCTCATGTCAAGTTTTGAGTTCGCCGCGTGAAAGCGGCAGTGCTAAAAAAACAAATTTGAAGTTTTTAAATTTAAAATTTAATCGATGAAAGTTAAGCTTTACAAAGTTTTCGAATCTTCAAAGTTAAAGTCAAAAGTTCTTAAAGTGCAAAGTCAAATTTAAAATTTTCATTAGCTGAACCTATTTTGCTATTTTTGATTTTGATTTTTCAGCGCCTTCAGAAATTATTCTAAAATTAAAATTTTCTTTTTCTCAAAATATATATTTTTAGCTTTCGATAAATTTTAAGATTTTCATAGCATGTTCTGCTAATGTTTCTGACGGTTTTTGTATTTGTATCACAATATAAAGTATTCATAGCTTTTTTTAAAGAATTCCTTGTTTTCCCTAACATTTCTGCAGTGCAAAAGTGTACGAGTTTGCTTTCACTCTTGCTTAAAAGTCAATTCACATAATATACCTGCGCCAGCGTTGCCTTCTTCAAGGTATGATTCCCCGTCAAATACGTTACATTAGCCCCTATCCGGGCTAATAAATCGATGCTCGGCTTGGTCATATTTGTCTGGTAGTCGGCCGGCCAGCCCACCAGGCAAATAATCGCTGAAATCGGTAAAATAAGAATTCCCTGAAATTACGATGAACTCCAATCCTCAGCCAAGCCATGGCCGCGATTGGCAAAGAGTTGAGGAAAACGGATCGGCTGTGGAGCTCATGCTAGCAAAAATTCGAGGTGGTGCCGTGGCATTTTCCGGATCTGGAGGCGCTTCCTGAAAACTGGGATTTAAAGGGCTTCGGTATTGTCGTAGACGCAGATCCAGTTTAGGCTTGGGCTTGGGTTTAGTTTAGGCTTAGGTTTTGACTTAGGCTTAGGCTCAGGCTCAGGCTCAGATTTAGGTTTAGGACTGAGGCTTAGGGCTTAGGCGTAAGCTTAGGCAATGGCTAAGGTTTTCGCTTATGTTTAAGCTTAGGCTTAGGCTTAGGCTTAGGCTTAGGCTTAGGCTTAGCCTTAGGCCTAGGCTTCGACTCCGCCATTCCTAGAAACAATTTGTATTTACCTGTCGTAACGAATTCGGCACCCACTCGTTCCATTTCTTCGTTATCGTAAAGGTATCCACCGAATTGTCAGTGTACTGTACAATCGAAATACAGCAGAAAAAGCCAGCGAGAAAAACCACGATGTAAGACGGAGCATTCGCAAGCTGAAAGGCCGACATCCGATCTGGGAAAAGACCCGTTTTTTCGGGCGTGGCCAGGGGTTGCATTTTTTTCTGAGATCTGTGACTTATGAATATTTAGATAGTGGTCGATGGTTTCGGAGTCAAGGGTCCTTTTGTTCACCAGCGACCTAAAGCTGGCGGTGGGAACCGCCTAGCAACCCGGGTGCAGAAAAGCGTTTTTTTCCCAAGCAACGTGACAGATTTAGAAATATCTAATTCACTTAGATTTCTTTCTTTCGCTCGCTCTCTCTCTCCGGCTTTCTCTCTCGCGCTTTCTCTCTCCAGCTTTCTCTCTCTTTCTCTCGCTCTCTCTCTCTTACGCGGTTACGGTCACTGTGTGTCTCTCGCTCGCCTCGCTAGCGTAATAAAAATTATGAATTGAACAAAGCCAATTTGAAAGAAATTGATCATTTTCAAAAATGCCCGTACAAAGGCATGGATTTTTTCTCTCACCTTTTTAAGCAAAACATTGAATTCTCGTAGCATTTCAATAGCTATAAATTTTTAATTTTTGATAGAAAATAATATACAGTTTTTGGCGTATACCCCAAATTGTAGTAAAAATAATTAGCATCGGTCAGTCGATTTGGACATGGTGGGACGGGACTACAAAGGAGGCTCATGCGGGCGAGCTGTTCAAACGCTCCGGAGAATGTTGCAGATCTATAATGCGGGAATATTGATTGCCGGGCTGGAAGGTGGAGGATATGGCGAATTTTCAGATTATTTGAAACTGCAAACACGAAAGATTTTATCGCTTGATTCGCAGGTTGAACCAGAACCAAAAAATAGCGTATTGTCATGGAGGGTTGAGCGGAGCACGTCGTAGGTTACGTATAAACATAAGATAAGTCATTATATAAAAATTTATAGCAGTGATTTTGGATTTCCCATCGTCAAATCAGCAGCTGCCAATTTTTGCATACAAATTCCATATTTCTCGGCTGATTCGTATAGATTTTTGGGTAGTAACTTCTTGAAAAACGGTCGTAGTTTCTCCCAATTTGTTGAAGTTGGCCTTGGCAGGTGACAATCGTCATAGTTAGTAAAATTGATCTAAAAATGGTTTGCTAAATCCGGACACTCGGTTTGTCTCTCTCCCTCTGTCTCTCTCCCTCTGTCTCTCTCCGTCTGTCTCTCTCCCTCTGTCTCTCTCACACCTTTTCTATCGTCACCTCGCTTGGCCAATTATTCCGATCAATCCTTCTGATAGTCCCAAGCTTTTCAGCGATTTTGAAAATTCTTTGAGACCTGAAAATCGATAAAAAACTTGTTTGCAAAAATAAAAATTTAACCTTCTCTTCCAATCGAATATTCTAAACGACAGCAGCTTTTGATCGGAATACCAGGCTGGGAGCCGATGAAGCTCGTTTAGGTTTGTGGCCTGTTCGTACTCTAAATTACTAAAGTAGAGGAATTCTAGCAATTCCTTCTTTGATTCGATTTTATGCAAGTTTCCAAAGCGAGTGAAATCAAAGTTTTTCATACTCGACTCACTTTTATCGAAAGTCGCATTCCCAAAATATACCATAACATTTTCTTCAATTGATGATCCATTGTGATAATCGGCTGGATGACCGTCTAAAACCCTCGTTTAAATAAAAAAAACGTGAAAACCTAAAATCTGGAGCCAATCTTTTTTACTAGCAGCCACTGTTACGATAGGCAAATGCTGAAAGGTCTCCCCGAACATTTTCTCATGGCCGCAGCATAGCGGATTGTACAGGAAGAGCTAAAAGTTGAATTGGGTTTCGGCTTACATAGACTCCAGTCTAGTCTTACTTAGACTTCAGCCAAACCGTTTTGTGGTGTCACCATCCCTTTAAAATCACTTACATCGACACCATCATCCCAATGCTGCTCCAGATGAAACGGTAGATAGTCAGAATCGGACAAGACTACAGTATCATTCTCGGAGATCATCGGTGATAGAGCTGCGTAGATTCGGCAATGCTAAATGCTATGTATTTATTTTCTAGCATTTTTTATTCCTATTCTTGAGTACGATATGATCCTTTGACTATCTGCTTATCAAAAAAAGGGTTTCCCGATTTTTAATGCAATCAAAAAGCCTTCGAAAACCCTCACCTGAGCCATAGTAGCCTTTTTGAGCGTGTAGTTTCCGGGTAAGTAGGAGATCGTAGCGTTCAGTTCGTTAAGTAGTTGAATAATTGGGGAAAGAGTAGTAGTTTGATAATCACTTTTAGCACCGATCAGGCAGATGAGGACTGAGATGGATTTAAAGTTCCGGAAAGAATTACGCATTAAATTAAATGGTCGAAAGGCAAGCAAAAATGTTTATTACCTAGTGTTTTTCAAGAGCAAACGACATGCCGTAAGCTACAAGCTACAAAATACAACTTTGAAGCAAAAGGTAAAAATACGAAGCAAAAGTTACCCTCAACCCGCAGCATATTCCATACCATCGCGGCCAATGGTAATGAATCGATGAAGAACGGATCGTCTGTGCCACCCAGGGAGACGTAAATCTTCGTTTTAGACGCCTCTACTAACGTCGTTGCATTATTTGGACCCTAAATCACTAAAAAAAATATTGTAGCTTCAGTACTGCAAATTTCAGCTCCCCAAAAACATGCTCCTCGCGCTCATAAAGAGTCAGAAAACTATAGAGAATAATAGGGACCAGTGGAATGAGAATCAGCTTTTTCATGCCCGGGCACAGGCTTAGGCTTGGCTTAGGCCTAGCTTGAGCTTTGGCTTAGGCTGAAGCTTAGCTTGGGCTTACGTTTAGGCTTAGGCTTGGGCTTGGATTTAGGCTTATATTTCAATAATGGTATATTTGAAGAGTACAGGAATTTGGATCTTTGATGAAATCCGGCAACGGTACGCAGCGGAAGCCCATCTGTGCAAATATCCTCCAATTCCCCACTTGTGAAAAGAAAAATGTGTTTGAAATAAATGTGTTTCCGGAGCGGTTTTTCAAGGTTTTATTAGATGTAATGGCGATTTCGACATTCTTTGGAGTCTTCAACCGCTGGCAGACTTGCGGCGGCATTCGATGAATTCTGGAAAATATCGTTTGAATAGTAAATTATTGGAACTCAAAAAATCATCTTAAATATAATTAAATACCTAAGTCTCTAAATTTAAACAACAATATATAAAAATTTAGGGTTTTGGGACGAAATTCAACAGAAACCCGATTGCTTGTGAATTAATCCGAAAAGGACCAAACGAAAAATCCGTAAATAGGCATAGCTTCACCTGTAGATAATCGCTCACGGATGGCAGAACAAACATCATAATTGGGCGGCGGTTGGAGGAGCAGGATAGAGAAATTCGGATCTGAATCTGGATTCTAAAATGACCAATTGTCGTTTACCTGAGCAAAGCGTGGGTAAGTGAAGTAATAGATAATTTTCGCAGTGCTTTAATAAGTCTTCGATTTGGTGATGCTAAATTGAGAAAAATACAAAAAAATCGGCTCAAAGTTACCATGGCAAAATTGTAGAGTTCGACAAAATTTGCGTTGTCGACAGAGAGGGTGAGGATACGAAGGACTTCGGTCTAAAGCGAATGTTACCACAATCAGGCTAGGGGCTAGGGTTTAGGCTCGGGTTGGTAATGGCTCAGGCTTACGCTTAAACTCAGTCTTAGACTTAGGCTTCTCGAAAAGTCTCAAAGCCCAAGCTATCTGACCCACCTCAAGCCCCGGAAGTCCATAGGCCTGTGATGCTTTGAGAATCTGGAACAACTGCCCGGGCCCGCGGCTTGGTGTCGATAGCCGCCCGGTGTACACGAATTCCATCAGGGACTAAATTATGTCGTTTTTACAGCTTCTCAAAACCAACCAGAAATACGGCAAACGGCACGTCGGAGATCGGGATGACCCCGTCGGGGCTTTGCAGTAGGCTTCTGAACTTTTCAGAAGCGTTGACGAGCACGATGCGGTGGCCGTAGACGATTTTGCCGTCGACCTGGAATTAGGCTGGGTGTAGGCAGGCTTAGGCTTAGGCTTACGCTTACGCTTAGACTTAGGCTTAGGCTTAGGCTTAGACTTAGGCTTAGGCTTAGGCTTAGACTTAGGCTTAGGCTTAGGCTTAGACTTAGGCTTAGGCTTAGGCTTAGGCTTAGGCTTATGCTTAAGCTTGGGCTTTGGTATCTTTGGGTACTTACCTGGAATCGGATATCCGACAGCTGCTCGCTGTTGACATAGCTCGGGTCTATGATGTTCCGGTGCACCGGAATTGTGGGGGACGTGCATTTTTCTGGGATTTAAGCGATAGAAAGCGAGAGAGAGAGAGAGAGAGAGAGAGAGAGTGAGAGAGCGAACACAAGTCTCCTTACCCGGCTCATTTCCGGAATCCTCCTTAAAATAGTGATGCAGGCGAGAGAGGGCAAATGCGGCAGGACTAGCGTCCCCATCCGGATACGACAATTCTTGCTGGAGAGCTCTTAAGATCTAAAATACTTATTTTCTAAAAAGATCAACGATCTTACCACAACAAGCGTTCTATTCAGGTTCTCCTCATTCAGATCCGCAGCAATATTTGGACCGAAATCAGCGAGGATGGAGTGCACGAGCCTGGGGTCGGCTCTTTGGAGGGACGATTCGAGGGCTCTTGTCCAGATGAAGGTCGACCAAGGTAGGCCGTCGACTAAAATTAGAATAATGTAGGCTTAGGATTAAGCTCCCGCTTAGGTTTCGGCTTAGGCTTAGGCTTAGGCTTAGGCGTCGCTCCAGGGGAGAGGTACTCACCCAAATATTTCAAAAACACGGCTACATCCGGTTTCTCGGTCTCCACGGCATAGTAGAGAGCTTCTCGCACGGCTTTCTTACCGGAATCGGTCAGCTTTTCGTATTCACACCTACAAGGAGTCTGGTTAATTCCAAAGAGCTACTTTGACTTACAAGCTTTCCAGGCTGCCATCATGCTGTCCCAAGATTTCGACTCGGTGTTTTGACGATCCGGATGCTTCACCCACTAAAATGACACCATTTTGCGGGTGACAAACTCTAGAAGAGAGAGAGAGCGAGAGTGAGAGTGAGAGATAGAGATAAGAGAAAAGCTTACTTTTTGTTAGCAGAGCCGTCAGGACAGTTCGATTGCCTCTTATTGCGGCTGCTGCTACAGGCGAAATCGATCCGATGCTGAATTTTCTACAGTAACCCAAATAATTTCTTTTGATCATTAATTCAATAACTACAACATTGCGAAATCGAATAAAATATGACACTGAATGTTGAGAAATCTCACTGATTATCCAACGTCTGCTCAGCTTTCCAGGTCCTAGACGGATCAGCGCCGCGATCCAGCAGAAGCCTTACACTTTCTAGGCATCCTTGTTGGACCGAGATCTAAAAAATTAGGTTTTCGGGAGAGAGGGAGCGAGAGAGAGAGAGAGAGCGCCAAAGAAATATCCTCACTTGCAACGGGGTCTCGTTCACTATTTCCGGACAGTCCATCTTCGCATCAGAATTCAACAGCATTTTGACCATATTGTGCTTCTGAATAGCCACTGCCCATGTTAGAGGCGTCCAGCCGGCATATCCGGGAAGACAATTCTTCACTGACGGAATTGCCATGTCCGTTGGCCATCCGGCAGCTAATAGCGCGCTTGTTGCTTCGGAATTTGATTGAACGACGGACTCGGCGAGGGGGCACATTCCCTGAAAAAAAAAATATACTAAAGCGTCAAAAACTTCATGTTTCGCTCGTACACTTGTGGAAAAATTCTACGATAATTTACCTTCACGGCACCTTTAAAAGCGATATGAACTACTTACAAAGCAACTCCTGGCATTATTCCGCTCCGCATCGAGCAGTGCAATCCCGTGGCGAACGTTTTCGGCATTACCGGTAGCAATCAGCCTGAAAAATGAGGTTTTTGAGCATTCGAAAGCGTGGAGTCTGACGAGATGGGTTAAGTAAGGCTAAGAGAAAAGAATTCGATGCGCCAGATTTACCCAAATGCAAAGGTCATCTTCGCGTCTTGCGGTCCAGCATCCGCGGCCAGCTCCCTTCTGCAGAGTGAAGCAGAAGGAGGCGGGCAATCGACACCACGAAGGAGACGGGCAGCCTGAAAGTTGAGACTAGGCTCAGGCTTAGGCTTAAGTTGCCGCTTAGGCTTAGGCTTACCTGCATGATATCCACTTCATCAACCGTCGGAGACAATCTATGCTCGGCAAAAGCGTAGATTAACCGCACCCAATCGGCAATGTGAATAGTTGACTGACTGAAAAAATGAAAAAAATAAATTGATATTTCAATATTAAAATGCAGAAAGGAAAAAATCAACCATTAACCCCAAAAATTAAAAGTTTTTAAAGTGGTTTTTAACTTACTGCGGGACCCCAGGACCACAAGCAAAGTAGTGAAGACTTCGAATGCCTGTCCTGCTGAGCTGAACCCTAAAAATTTGCGATGTTACTGAAATTCAAGATGTTTCCTTACTGCGCTCGCCGTTTGACATTTCCGGTCGAGTGCAAAATCCGATCCCTCACTGCGTGAACGGCATCCACCAGCTTCGCAAAGGAGATCGGGCTCGGCAGGTTCATCGTGGCAAGGGAGTCCGTGTTTGAGAAATACTGGATAAGCGATCTTGCGTTGGAATTCAGGAGCTCTTCAAACTTGGGGGAGGTCAGGACTTCGGGGGAGTCTAAAAATAAAGGTTTGAAGGGTTCTGGTTTAAATATTTTTAAAAACTTCACTTTAAAACGTTATGAAAGTGCCGAAGAAGTTTTTTATGAAAAATGTGATACCTGAATCGACGATTCTCAACACGAATTCCTCGAGGATACACTGGACGGCCGCAGTGAAGAATACGACTGCCTGAATTTTATTTTTAATATTTTTTTAGAGCATAGGATTTATTTAAGGAAACTCGTGCCAAATATTCTGACTTTGTGAAAGCTGCATGTTGTCAACGGCGCTAGCCCATTTCAAAATACCAAAGGAATTTCAGCCTATTAGGATCCGCTTGGACGAGTATGTCATTAATTCGCAAATCCAGTTAGGATTTAAATACCATTAGAAATTAAAAGTTTACAACTAAGCTTTTGATAACTACATACATGCTCCGAAATCGGCTTCCCGGGCAGCTTCTCGATTAAATAGCGATAAAAGCGGCCGACCGGAAAGCAGAGATCTGCTCGCTCGGTTAGTGACATCGAGAGGGCACCTGAAAATACCAAATTCAAAATTTTCATTGTTGCATAATTGAAGTGAATTTGAAAATCTTTTGGAAGCATACCAGGTCCATTCCTCGAAAAAGCGGACGCAGCTTTTTGCCCAGATCTCAAGCAACTGGCGAACAGATCGAGGGGGAAGGAGATCTGGAATTTGGCGTATAGTATGGCGCGGAGTTTAACCTTTTTAATATATTTTATAAAAATCTAAAACGTAAGGCTAACGGGTATTAGATCTACCTTAATCGCCGAGGCAACATCTTGAGCCGTACACTTGACACTGTACGCCACGAGCCTTTGCAAATTTTCGGTGAGAACATCGAGTGGTTCGACCATGACTTGGTGAAGTCTGAAATCTGGAGGTAATTTAAAGCGATTAAGGCGAGAGAGCGAGAGAGAAGAGCAAGAGATTGAGAGAGAGAGAAACAATGAGAGGGATAGTGAGAGAGATAGTGAGGGAGAGGCAAGTGAATTCCTGACAAACCTTGAGACAACAGCCTTGTCGATGTAGTTCGCGAATGATTTGCATCTTCTTGATTCGAGCACAGCATCCACGTGGCTGCGGTTGAAGGGTTGTTGCCTAAAAATGCCATTTTTGTCAGGTTTCTGAGTTTCTCAAATAAGTTGAATTTAAGCTCACTAAAACAATGGAAATAAGAGAAAAATTGAAGCATTACCGTTCCGGCCTTGAGCCTACTGTAGATGGCGGACTTGAAATAGGGGACGAAACTCGCGGGCGCTGATTTCGCATAGGAATCTGGAAAATCGTGTTATTTAACGATCTCACTATGGTTTTTTCCGGAATATAATTTTTGATGATTTTACTTACCTTGGGGCTATTTTTCACTTCCGGTTCTGATGTCACAGAGACGACCTCACGGGATCGGAATCCGGCCCGGGAAGATCCCGAGCCAGAAGACGCACCGAGGGAGTTGGAATTCGCGGATACTAAAAACACTGTTTTTTGCTTGAATATTAAACGTGCAAAAACAGAGCAAGGTGAATTAAGTTTAGAGTGATAAAAAATGCATACAATGGGCCTCGTCCGGTCGATCAGGTACCCGATCAAGTCGAGGCGTGGACCTGTATCCAGAATCCGTTGGGGATCTGGAAGATCAAATGATAATGTACGTTACGATACGCCACTACAAGCCAATGTAGGCGAGCGACGTCTGCCATACCTACCTCGTTGACGAAAACCCATCGTCCTCCTCGGCCGGCTCCGGGCTCGTCACACTAAATATGGATATTTGAAAATTTGAAATGTGTAATTACCACTCATAGTTGACGTTGGGCACACTCTTGTACAAATTCCGGACTTGCTCCAAGCTGCTCAAGGCGGGCTCGTGGAATGGATTCCGCTCCGAGTGCTGAGGCGATCCGCCGGCCACCGAATTCCGTTCGAGTACGGAGCGTGCTTTTTGCTAAAAAGGAGTAATAAAGGAAAATCGTTAAAGTTATTGATTTTACCGATTTCTTTCTAAATTTCAAAGACTATTTCACCCTACGTTTCGTGTTCATTTCTTACGCTTTTAAAGGGACGTTAAACCTACGTTTTAGGCCAACTTTTAAAGGTGCAAGAAATATAACAACCACAAGGAAGGCCAGCAGAGATCCTTGAGGATGAATAAAATTCGCAGCGGTCGGCATCTTGCTAAGGGGTTTAGCAGAGATCCTTGAAAAAATTAATCGACTTTTCGACTTAACGATTACGCAAATTAAATCGTCGACGGTGGTCCAGAAAGGCGAGAGAGAGAGGGAGAGAGTAAGAAAAAGGCTAGAGATAGAGCGAGCGAGCGAGCGAGAGAGAGAGAGAGAGAGAGAGAGAGAGAGAGAGAGAGAGAGAGAGAGAGAGAGGGAGAGAGAGAGAGGGAGGGGCAGCGAGTTTTTCAGAAATTTCAACCCAAATTCTAACAAAATTACCCTGATACTCTTAAACATCCATAGGCGAGGGGTCGCGGGCGATTGTGGGGGTCGTCGATTCTGGACAAATCGCGAGGACTCGGTCAACCGCGCCGGGATCCGCTGGTCTCTAACGGCCACTGTGGAAGGCGGTTTGGCCCTCTTAGGGCCCAAGTGAGAGAGTGGGGGGTTGATAAAAAGGGGAGGAGGAGATGAAGCGCAGGAAAGAATCGTCGAGAATTAGGGCCCACAGAGACCTTAGGACCCAAAAACCGCTGTGGGACCCGCTGAAAATCCGTGGCCTGGACGCCCTGGGCCCCTGGAGGCACTTGTTTGCGCGCGTGGAGTGGGCGCGCAAGCGCATCTTGCTGCTTTCTTCAGGGGGTTCTTGTCCTTCTTGGACTAGAGGAGAAGGCTTGTCGCCCTGTGTTGTTTCGCACGCACCAATGTACGGGAAATATGTATTCTTTCCAGGCACCAGGGCAGCGGGATACTCATGGTCAGTGCCGAGCTCTTCGGGGTGTGGCAAAAGCTCGGGGACTGGGATAAGGACGGGAAAAAGATTATTAGAAAAAAAGGATCGTCTATACGTTTTGTTACGATGCGCTATGTTATGGCACGACAAGTCTCATTTCTATACATTAATTCCCGCTACGTTCCATTACGCTATACTACGGCGTGCTAGGATACGCTACGTTTCTCCACGGTACGCTACGTTATGTTACGATACGTGACGTCTCGTTATGTTAGGCTACGCTATGTTACAGTACGTAACGGTACATCCCGTTACGCCACTTTAATCCCACATTGCGTCAGGTTTACGTTACGTTACGCTGCGTGTACGTTACGTTACCGTACATTTCGCTACAAAGCGCTGCGTTCCGTTACATAGCGTTCCGTTTCGTTTTCCTAAGCTAAGTTACGCTACGTTAGGGTACAATTTGCTACGATATGTCAAGTATGTTATGTTACGCTATGCTAAATTGGGACGGGAAAATAAAGCACAGGTTTCAAAAGGACACGCAAAACATAGAATGTGTTTTTCGCATAAGAAAACTCCCGAAAAAAATTTTCCTTGGATACGAGCAAAAAATTTTTGGGGAAGTGTTCGCTCGGTCCGGGCTCACGATTGGTAAACAATACATTGTTTGAGGAATGCATAGCATACGGGTGTACTTTTTGTTTCAAAGTTTTTAGCATTTCGACTTTTTCAAAGTTAGACGGGTATATTCTTAAAGCTTTCTAGTTAGATTTAATAACTTACGATCAGTGGTGACTTCTGGTATCGTCCAATCGGATGCGCCGGCTTGTCGCCCTGGATAAAAACGACGTCATCGGATGCGTCGACGGTGGAGCCCATTTTGTTCTAAAAAATCTTATAAAATGAGAGAGAAAGCGAGACAGAGAAAGAGAGAGAGAGAGAGAGAGAGAGAGAGAGAGAGAGAGAGAGATATCGAGCACGAGACTGACCTTATGATTCTTAAATGGAGCCATTCCACTGGCCGATTGAGTGATGTTCCCGGGTCGTAGAGCTTTCAAAGCCTGGGTCAACCGATCGGGAAGGCTGTGCTCGGAGATGGCCAACGAGTGCCGTTGGAGCCGGTCTTTTTCCCTAAAAAGTAACGTGTTTTAACTCTTAACAAAAGCTCGAGACAAGCAAATGCAAAACCAAAACTACAAACTTCTAAAACTTGCTTACTTGAGCCCCATCCTCGGTCGTACGAGGTAGGCAGGGGGTGCCTGGCCAGTGGCGTTTAATGGCCAAATCTGAAATATAGCCATGAAGCAGGTAAGAAGTTGTATAATCAATCAAAGGGAAAGCAACAGAAGATGAATATTAGTCGAGGTAAGCCGATAACTTGAGGTAATTCTGAAAACTGCGGATTTTTGAACAATGAATAAATAAAGCCATGAAATGGCCATATGTGGCCAAATGATCATGGGGGAAAGTGACTAAATCTTAAATTTGTACAATTAGATATAGAACAAATAGTGTCAACAAGGGCTCGGATAGGAGATATGAAGGTTGGAGTCGGCTCCTTTAGCGTAATTTAACGTAACGGAACGTGGGGTAACGTAATGCAAAGTCGAGTAACCTAAGGGTGACGTAGCGTAAAGTAACGTAATGCAGCGTAGCATAGCGTAAGAAAAAGGTAACGCTTTGCAAAAAAAATGCAACGTGACAGAACGAAGTTTAAGGTGAGGTAACGTATAATCACGGAAAGTTTATAACGAAATAAAACTTAAGGTATCGGGGCGTAGCGTAGCGTGACGTATAGTTGCGCAGCGTATTGTAGCGTAGCGTAGGCCACAAAAACCCGATTTGGCATGCGAGGGTTATTAAGGTTAGGGTATCGGTTATCACGGAGGAAAGAACAACAGATTTCCGACTTCTTAGTACCTTTAAGATAAAATATATCACCCCGATTTCCTCACTAATCATAAGATCAAATGAAATATCACGATACTCGACCCAGTGGAACTGTTGGTCTACAGGACTAGAAAGGACCCCCACTCAAGAACCCGTGAATCAGAAGAATTGGGGGTGGATGAGTTGGGATGAAGCCTCCTCCCCGGATCAACAATAAAGAGGTTCAAAGAGCTCGATTGGATGGCATCTCACTCACGGGATTGAAGAAGAAGACTAGAGGGCGGCATGGATAGAAGATACCCCCCGCGTACACACTCCTATTGACACTCAGGCGGCCGCCAAAAAAGTGCGCAAATATTCGCGATCCGGGGGGTATTGGGAGTCGATTGGGGGGCCCGGGCGCATGGATATCAATCCGGATCGCAGTGGCATCACGCATAGTAGTGGCAATTATGATGTGATCGCCGATGAGGTCACTTTCGACAAAATTGCATGATTTTAAAGAGACTGGGAAGTCTGGAAATCAGCCCGAAAAACCTCATTAGTGCGCCAAAATCACGCATAGTAGCCGGCTTCTGTTCCCAATACGTTATGATCGCCGATGAGGTCACTTTTTTGCGAAAGTGAAGGATTGAAGTATGGAAGTTCGCGTTAAAAATGTCATTATACGCTAAACATCACTTGGTATAAAAGACAAGGTAAGCGTTATTTTTTTGTGGATATTTTGGGCTTTTGCCGATAGACGATAAGGTCTCATTTTTTCGAAAGAGGCGGATTTTAAAGGAACTGGAAAAACGGGATTTAGCTGAAAACTGCAGAAGACAACGCATTAATAAAGCTAGAAAGCTAGAGCATGATGCGATTTTGATGGTCTGCTCATATATGATGTCAATTTTTTTGCAAAAACCCGAATTTTAAAGGGACTGGGAAGTCCGAGGTGTTTCGGAAAAAATTTCCATTAATGCTATCCACGATGTGAACACCGAGGAGGTAAACTTCTCAAGCCCCGATCACGGGATCCACTCATCATTTGGAGGTTTGAGGGATGCATTATTCAACCGAAAAACAAGGGTAGCAAAGCCGGGCACCCTGCATCTGCGCAATAATAGGGTCTCGAATAGATTTCCTTCGGCAGGGGTAGTATGTAAAAAAACTAATTCACTCCCACTAACTGTAACCGTTTTTTGTTGACCGTGGGATTTCGATACGTGAGATAGCACATTTTGTGCAGAATTTTTCGCTGATTCCGAATCCGTTTTCAAAAGTTGCGGAACCCCTCTAGATAAAAAGTTACAGCCGGTTTTCTACCCCAAATGACCGAAAATTACAAACTTTAAGTCCTTATAAAAAACTCGTGGAACATTTTGTGGGATAAAATACAGCACTCCTAGGGGTAAAAAAACGTGCTCTTTCGAATGGGCTACCTCACGAACCCGTAGCTCAAAATTCACAAAATTTCAAAAATTGGCCATCCAGGGCATTGGTCCACCGAAAAACTTTTTTTCATGAATTTTGAGCTACGGGTTCGTGAGGTAGCCCATTCGAAAGAGCACGTTTTTTTACCCCTAGGAGTGCTGTATTTTATCCCACAAAATGTTCCACGAGTTTTTTATAAGGACTTAAAGTTTGTAATTTTCGGTCATTTGGGGTAGAAAACCGGCTGTAACTTTTTATATAGAGGGGTTCCGCAACTTTTGAAAACGGATTCGGAATCAGCGAAAAATTCTGCACAAAATGTGCTATCTCACATATCGAAATCCCACGGTCAACAAAAAACGGTTACAGTAAGGGCGTTTTTAAAAATATTTAGCGTTGGAAAATGAGCGTGATTTAGACGATCAGAGACAAATTCTTAGAAACTACCATAAGAAAATTCCAACCCAGGTTTACGTTCAATCCAAGAATATGAAAAAGATTCTATGGTCAAGCCTGGGACATCTAACAGGGTATGAAAGCTTCGGCAAGCTACACGACAGGACAAACATGTTTCCATCCTGGGTGCGGGGGGCACCACGTCAAGTGTGGGACATTGGTCGAGGGGTGGTGGTTCAAGGGGTTTCGAAGAGATAAGAAGCTTCGTTTGGATGGGGGAAACTTTCAAAGGAAAAGCTAGAATCTGAAGTAATGCTCGGTATCATCAATGCGCTGCAAAAAAACAGGAAAACCCTAGTAGAACTGTGTTTATTACCGCTACACCACATAGCAAAACTATAAAACCAACTATAAAAACGTAGAGAACGAATTCTGGAGATGCTTATGACGCCTCGAGCTCAACAAACAGTTCAAAAGACCCGCAAAACTCCAACTAGAGAAAAACTGAGAAAACTGAAGCCCTACTCCTCTCCTGGCCCCACTCGAACACCCTCAACCTAGTATAAGCAGAGAATGACCGGGGGTGAGAACTGGCGAGAGAGAAAGAGAGGGAGAGAGGGAGCGCTTGTCAACAATGTTCAGAAAATCCTGAAGTGCAAAGAATCCCTGCTAGTATCCTTAAAACCCTGCTAGAACACAGACGAACATTCGAGCTCGAAGAGCTGAACTTTTGCGAGCCTCATTAGGTGTCTCTCAAAGGAGTTTTGGGGGTTCCCGACGCTTTCCAAAACGGCCCTATGTTGATCCTAGCAGTTTACGCTAGGTTTGCGCACGCCTCGGGGGCGGTGAGTCAAGAAAGCGTGGCGTTTTCTGGGGGTCTAGGTTCCGCTTTTGGTAATTTACTACTATTGATCCAACTTCGTTTGAATCTACAAATAAATTCATCTTTTTGCGTGCGTCATTTTAGCTTTACTTGCGTAATTTCGCTCGGAAACGGGGTGTTCTCGATGATGTTTATAAACTTTATGGTTTTTCTGGTCATCGCACATTTCAAAAACGCAAAATGGTAAATTTGAAGCTATGATACGCAAAAAAAGAGGATTTTGAATCTAAAACCTCAGGTTTTTAAATTGCAAAACCGCGTTTCTGAATCTAATTGCTTTTAATTGTACCGATGTTTCCTCAGAAGCAAAAAATCCTCGATTCGCCGAGAAACTTGACGTTCGGATCCGGAAACATTAGCGATTTCATAAACTAGGAAGTAATCTCAGGCCAATGGAAGGAAATGATATGAGTGGTGGATTAAGACCAGTCTAGCTAGATGTGGAAGTGAGAGTGGGGATAGAAGGGCCACTTGGCCTTTGGGCCCTCTCTTAGCGGGGGTGGGCCCTCGAAAACACGGTCGCCACGGGGGGAGTAGTCTCAGAAGGGCTGACTGTTGGAGACGAGGACTGGATTTTCAGGCATTCACACTACCCCTCCAGGACCACCCAGCCACATACACATACACATACACACACCGAAAGAGAGAGGGAGAGTAGGGCGTGAGAGAGAGAAAGAGATAGAGAGATAGAGAGATACAGAGAGATATAAAGAGGGAGAGACCCCTACCATCATTCACACAAAAGGTGAAAAAAGGCACAACGTCGAATACACCGGAAAATTGTGGCCACTTTTGGATACCGGATGATTAGGTAGCCTCGGGGCACAAAAGCCGAAAAATTTGGTTTTGTGCGTTCAGAGCGCTAGGAAATGCTGTTTTAGGTAAATTGAGCCACTCTAGACGAGATTCCGACGGAAATTTGGGAGTTTCCAAATCAAATGATATCTGAATCTGGGATTTAAAAATATTTACAAGTCAGTGAGCGCGAATTGAATTTGAATTGAATCAAGCATAATAGCTTTCGAAGTTAGGGAATGAGAGAGCGAAAGTAAGAGAGAGAAAGAATGAGAGAAAGAGAGATAGAGAAAGGGAGAGAGATAGATCAGAGGATGACAGAGAGGGAGAGAGAGAAAGATAGAGAGAGAGGGAGAGAGAGAGAGAAAGAGAAAGAGAGAAAGTGAGCCAGGGTGAGAGCGAGAGAGTGGGAGAGAGGGAAAGAGAGACTATACCGACTGTAGACGGCGAGAGAGAAGTAACCAAGGAATTAGAGAGCTTGAGGGACCCGAAGCTCAAGAAATCCAAATTTTTAGTCGTTTCCCGAGGAGCTCTACTAGACCTACTAGCAAAAACCTTGGAGAAATTGAGCAAAATGCGCAGAAAGTCTGTAAGAATTTAAGCGGGTGCTAGCAGGGGCGCTTGAAGGATGGCAAAACGGCGAAAAATGGAAACCACTTTATTGGGTGCGAGCCATGTCAAAAATTGGGGGTGGGGGAGAAAGAAAATCATAAGAAATTTAAAGACTTAGGAATTCGAAAGCCGGTTGTCCTTAATAATGAATAACGAGGTTTCCTTGTACGTCATAAAGCAACGGCAAACTAGCAAAGGCCATTTGCACATTCCAAAAACTCCGGATAAGCATCAAGAAACCGTGGCAAAAACGATGCCACCCCGAAATAATGGGCATAGTTTTTCGGGGGAGTGACGGTAGCGAAAGGCATTCTTTAGGCAAAAGGGGTGAAAGCCGAACCCAGTTCCTCTACCCTATTAGCCTTTCAGGGCGGTAGCGCCGAACCCGCGAGAAGGTTTAGCGGCTTTTTGGGGGTGGGGAAGCTTTAGACAGTGGACGCCGCGCTTCGGTTTCGGAAGAGGCGCTTTACCGGGGCGTCTCCATGGTCTTCAAGGCGAACCGTACACAATGCCGCGGAAGCTCACACCTCACTACCCCCACGGTCACCTGGTCGATACAAATAAGAGGAAGCAACTGAACGGGGCAGATGGGGGTCAGTTTCCGGTACGTAAATTGAAACGTAATGGAATTATGGTTACCTTAGGTTTTAGTGGCTAGGCTTAGGCATAGGCATAGACTTAGGTTGAGGCTTAGGCTTAGGCTTGGGCATATGCTTCGGCTTGGTTTTAGAATTAGGCTTCACATAGGCTACGCTTAGGCTTCACTTAGGCTTCGCTTAGGCTTCGCTTACTAGTTTTTAGTTAGTTCTTAGTTAGGCCGGGGCCTGAGCCTAGGCTTAAGCTTAGGCCTAGGCTTCGAAGAACACCGGGCTCGGCTGGTTTTCCAGGGCTTAGCCTTAGGCTTAGGCTTGAGTTGGGTTTAGGCTTAAGCTTAGGATTCGAGCATCACCGGGATCGGCCAGTTTCCAAATCTGAAAATTCACAAAATAGTCCAAAATAAATAATTTCCGCTGTCTATTTATGCTCCATTAACGCGCAAACGCAAATGTTAAGCCCGAAAAAGCCGATTTTCACTAGCCCCTGACCCCCAGGCGCCGAAAAAGTGAAGCCACACCTCAAGTGGCGAAAACCGTTGACAAGGCTTGTTATGTTTGAGCGACGCCGTGGGGACAGTGAATATTGAAAGGGGAGGCTGGCCACTTGAGCACCACCTCTGAAGTTTCGTTTTCGTATCGGGGTCATCTTTGCCTGGGGAGGCTATTCAATAACTGTGAGAGATGGACAGTCGGAAGGGGGTGTGAAGCTGTGGAAAAAGTTGAGTGGCACAATGGCAAGGCGGGTAGGAGTCTTTGATCATTACAGTAGATTGGGAAGTAGGGTGGGAAGGTCACTTTATTGAGGCAAAATTAACTAGGAGTATTGTAAACGTAGTGAGCGAGAGAGAGAGAGAGAGAGAGAGAGAGAGAGAGTGAGAGAGAGAGAAGCAGCGACAGAGAAACTTAAATAAAAAATTCTTAATCGCAAGGGCTTGGGGTGCGTAGACTTGGTCTTCGGCTTAAGCATAACTTTAGCCTTAGGCTTCGGTTTCGGCTTAGGCTCTCGTTTGAGCTTGGAACACGGCTTCGTCTTGGGGTCGGGCTCGGGCCAAGAACTCTTATGGTATGGGGTTCTCGCGGACCTGTAAAGTACGGAAAACCACATGGGACACCACTCCCGTTTACTGCTACTTTTCCACTGGGGGATTTACGCCTGTCGGCTCGTGCTCCTTGACAAAAAGTTGACCTTCCCCACGGCCCCGCCAACAAGGCAATACGGTTACTTGGTAATTACCGATGGGAAAGTCAGTGTGGGGGGGGGGTGAGAAGTTGCGGGTAATCGAGAGGATTAAAAGGATTGTCAGGTCAAGAGAGCGAGAGAAAAGAGCGAGAGAGAGCAAGCGAGAGGGTAGTCTAATACATGAATTTGCTGTCTTAATAACAAAAGCAGCAAATCTCCGCTTAAAACCAGACAAAAACTACTAACATTATCGAAAAGATCCCTTTCCCGAGACCGGGTATGTCGGCATACGCGAGAAATGCAAAGAAAGGCGTCAAAATCGGGGAAAATCGGGATGCCGGGGAGCTGAAAGGTATTGGGGGAAGACACATGTTCGCTGCCATTCCCCCACCCCCATACCAACCAACCACAAAAACCCATTCGAAAAATGAGGAACAAATGTGGAAAACGCGCCCAAAGAATGGTTCCCGCCAGCGGATGGAAACTCCCGAAAAATACGCGCGCTTGCCCGCATCGCGAGAGTTTGGTTAAGGAATGGGTTTCCGATTTTTGAGGAATTTCGAGGTATTATCGGCGGTTTTTCGAGGCTCGCATCTATTTGCTTTCACGTTTGGGAATTAAAAAGCGTTCAGCAACGAAAATAGTAAAATTAGCATTAAGGGCAAGATTTTACATTACCCCCCCGTCCCACGGCCGGAGGGTCTCAAAGTTGTCGGGATTGGTCGGGATTTTGCAACGCCATTCGATAGACCGTCGAAAAAATATACGATTTGAGCATACCATAATCTAAAATGAAAAAAGCTATAGCCAAAAACGGCCGGTAAAGTGAAGTGAATTCCTTTTTTCCGAGGTTATGTGTGAAATGCCGGGATCCAGTGACACCCGGTGGGAGATGACATATGGCCTGGATTGCCACTTTTTTCGAGGGGTTCACCGAAATAACGGTTTGACCTAGAACACCTCCCCCAACTACGGCCATTCTCACCGATCCTCAAATCCCCAAAAAAAGAACGATAAATTGCAGACTGTGGGAATGCTCTACTTTTAACGGGTTGATGGAGGAGTAGCCTAGCATAAGATTAGGATTAGGTTTGGCTTAGGGTTAAGCTTAGGCTTAGGCTTCGCTTTGCCAAAAAAAAGCTCTTTCTCGGATCCCGGAAATTGCTGGCAGCATGCCCATCTGATCCTCATTTGCGCTGAAAACAACGAGAGAGAGAGAGCGAGAGAGAGAGGGAGAGAGAGAGAGCGAGAGAGAGAGAGAGCGAGAGAAATAGATCAAGCCACAGCACATATCCGCCCACTTGTTCTTCTTCATCTCCTTCCTCCCGTAGCAGTCTATTCAAATTTATGACTAGGCAGCTGGGGGGAAGACATGTTGGGGCGGAACACTTTGATCATCTCCCGAGGTTCGGGCATAAATTTCGACGACTGCGGTTAGGAGGGGCGAGTCATTTCGATTTGCACCCGGTGGGGAGGAGGAAAGTTTGATCGAAAATCTACAGGGGATTCAAATAGCGCAAAAATAAGCTAATTATTGCAAAAAAATTAGGTGTATAAAATTTCTGAGCGTGAATAAAACGCCTCAAACGAGCGTAACATTTTTAGTTAATTTTTGGTGATTTCCACACTTTCAAGACAATTTGGAACTCGTTTAGACTCATGTAAATTGATTTCTAACTTTTTAAACTACGTTTTTTTGCTGGTGTTCGTAGATAAGATTTTTGCGTTTTTTTAAATACTATTTAACCATTTCAAGGGAGTCTGAAGACTGAGACATTTTTTTTAGATTCTTATATTTTTTAAACCTTTCTAGTGTGTACAGTGTTTAGTGAACATTTTTAGGGCAAGTTTTTCATTTTATTTGGCTTTTTGGTGTGAATTATATTTTTTAATTTTTCGCTCATTTCTCTCCGGAACGACAACCCCATGATATACAAAAACCACCCGGAAATCGGCTGCCATCGACTCCCGGAGAAAGCACCAGCCACCCGCTGGGGCATTGTTTAGAAAACTGGACCAGGCTGACTGCCCCCGGGGAAATCACCCGCACACACCTACAATCCACTAACAGCTGGCCCGAAAACGAGCCGGGCGACATCATAATAATATTATTACTGGTTTTCTTACGATGTTATTCATAATATTCTTAATATTTATTACTTTTTCGGAAGCTGGAAGGTTTCATTTGACAGGTCAGATTTTTTAAATGCTTCTATTTTTGCCAGGAAGTCAAAAATTAGCCAAAGATTGCTCAAATATCGCTAAAATTTTGTAGCTGGTAACTTGGTGGTTTCACCTTTAAAGGGCACGTTCAGGGACATTTTTTTGGAAAAAAGCAAAGGTTTTTGCCGCGGCCGGGGGTCGAACCTGACAAGGGGGCGAGGGGCGCCCCAAGGAGGGGAATGGGCTGTCACAGCACGGGCAGGCCGTGCGCGCGGTCCCTGCGTCCATGGGGTGTACACGTTGGGACGAGTACACGGCCCCTCCCTGAACGTGCGCTTTAAGCGGTAAATATTGTTCAAGATGCGAGTTATTGAGGTTAACCGCCTGACCACAGACTTGCCGGTCTCTTTAAAAAACTATATGCTTCTTACAATCAAGGAATATATTTTTAGTATTAATATTTTTTTTTTAGAAAACGATGCTGTGCCTACGAAAGATGAGCTCGTTCTCCTAATTATGGGCGATCCACAGTACCACTACCCTTGTGAAATGACGAATCTCGAATGCAAGGCGGCTAGCCAGCCGATAAGGAAAAACTTTAGACTGGATTATGTGAGTCTTTTTGGCTTGGTAGACGTTAGTCAAAGTAAAAGACAAAACAAGGTAAGAAGAAGTAGTGATCTAATGGGGAAAACTTATCTTGGGTCACTGTGCGTGATGGGGAAATCACTCAGATACTAGAATGAAACTCTTTTTCAGGGAAAAGTGATAGCGGGGAACATCCTTTTTATCTCGAGTTTCACTTTTTCGTTGGAGACTGAGGTTCAAAGAAAACGAGTTAATCTAGGCCAAACAAAATTGTTTTTTTATTAGAAAAAATTCCAGGCAACTTTTAAACGATAAATCTGGATTTTCAGTTCCTCCGCCCACTACCCCCGATCCTGACGAATTGGACCGAAGCCCAGGATGAGGCGATAAAAGTGGAGAGCCGTTTCGCTAACAAGATCCAGAGAAATTCGCTGGAAAAATTGATTAGGTGTAAGTTTTGCCTCGAAACTAATAATCCTAAGGAAATTTTGCATTAAAAATTGACTCCTTGCTGTTTTCAAGGCCAGCGAGTCAATTGTTCAAGGTTGAGCCGCCATATGCAAAAATATGCAGATTAGTACCATGCTGCGCGCGACTGGAGCTCATTTTTCATGGCTTCCTACCGAGAGCCATGCCAGCCAATGTTGACTACTGAAGGAAACAGAAAATTAACATTTTAACGTAAAAGGTTAAATTTTAGCATTCCCCTACGAGCCCTCGGCACTGATCATCAACGGGGATCTGACGAATTTTGGGCACAAGCCGCAGCTGGACGAATTTGTGGTAAGGAGAGGTCACTGCATATAGGGAAATTACTGCTTACAAATACTTTAAAATATGTGTCGAAAACTATTTGGATAAGAACCTATTATATTTATCAAAACGGGTTTTCCTAGTCCCCTTAAAATGGTTTTTAAAGTGTTAACTAATTTTTTTTGTGCAGTTATAACACCGTGTTGCGTAGATACTGTCTTTAATGCCCCCTTTAAAACCGACTTTTTATATCTGCAATATGTTAAGGAGCTATGGTGGTGTTTTTTGAGCTGAAAATCTGCCTTCCAGCACCTTTAAAACCGGCTGCTAAGTAATTCGTGCAGATTCAAGATTTCAAAATGGCAGTCCATTACCGTCTGTTTTTGTCAAATTCCTCCACCCCAATGACCATGACTTTGAAGGATCGTAGTGGGAGCATATTATGGGGGCGTGTCACCCCTAAAAAGTGACCCGCCTGGGGCCGACAGATTCAAAGGCGAATTGACTGGGGGTAGTGACTGAAAATAAGAGGTGTGCGGAATGGATAAACCTTGGGGGTGGGTTTCGCATAGGACCGATATGACCTTGTATCCTAGCCATTTTTTGAGCAGTGTTCGACTCTCTCTAGATGGGCGTGGATATCTTTATGGTTATGGCTGGGGGTAGAGTTTTGGCAGAGTGATTACAGAAAATCGGGAGGACTACCAATTATCTAGATTTCGGGTATCAAAAAGTACTTTGTATGTCTCGAATTACATGCCTTACCGATTTATCGTAAAATATTTTCATATTTTGAGGCATTTGGCAGTATTTAAAAAAATATATAATGCTGAATCTCTTGATTTACACATCATAATCGATTCATCTAAAAAATATTGGGATTTTGAGGTATCTAGAGGCCTTTTAAGGCAATTAACATTGTTTAAATCTCTCGAATTACCTATCCTAATTTACTCCTCCAAAAATACAGATTTAAGGCATCTAAAGGTGGTTTTAAAGCAATTAAAAGCGCGTGGATCGCTGAATTTCATGTCGTAAACGGTTTGCAGATGACATTTTTATTTAAACAACCCTAGTTTGAACTATCTACAAGAAATCCGTAGCTCAGCTTTGCTCGTTTTTTTAGGCAGCGCGCGTGACGTGTGGCGAGCGCTGTAAAGCCATGGAAATTTGAAAATTCGTAATTTTAATTTTGAAAAACCGAGCAAAATTTGAGAATGAAATGATCATGAGAGTGAGCATGCGACTGAGACGGCTTACAAATGAGTCTGACTGTCTCGGAAACGGACTAGAAATGGTGGCCATTCCCAATTCCCTCGCTCTTCCTCCGCCCCTTGAGGGTGTGACCTTGTCTGCCACTCATCTATCTTCTGACCAACCCGACGGGGGCGGAATTTCGCGCTGCGTAAATCATGGAATCCGATCTGCCGGACGGGGAGGATGAGTTCCGTTTTCTCTCTCTCTCTCTCTCTCTCTCTCTCTCTCTCTCTCGATTTTTCCTAATGAGCAACATCTGGCTGCGGAGCACCAGTTATTGTCAGGGGGATGAGGGTGTTAAGGCCGTTCCGCGCGTCAAAAAATGGCGGAAATCGCAGATTTATATGACTTCGCGGGATGAAAAAGTTGCGAAGCTCCTGATCATAGCCGGAAAAACTGGAATAGCAAAATTTATGACTAATGGAAAACTTTGCACTTCAGCCGATCTTTCACGATCTAACGACCCAAGCTTAAGCATCAGACTAAGTCAGAGCTTAAGTCTAAGCCCAAGCCTATGCGTAAGCCTAAGCCTAAGTCTAAGTCTAAACTATGGCTTGAATCTCCATATTCCCTGTTTTAGAAAGGCTGGATGACGAAATTCCCAATCCCCATCCTCGCGGGTCTCGGTAACCATGATTGCCAGAATAATGTGGATGACTGCTTTGCGAATTATTGTGTTGACAATATGATGGACTGGTCGCAATAAATTCAAATTTTTATGATGTGGTTTAGGTACATAAAATACGCCAAAAACCACTCGCTCGATGTGGATTATACCAAAGACGAGAAAATGGTCCACGAGGGTACATTTGCGTACTCGAAACGCCTTTGTAGTTTGACTGGTACGTCCAATTATCTCCATTTTTCCTTCCAAAAACTAAAATTTACGAAATTCTGAAGTATTTAGTCGATTCTAGAATTGAAAAATATTTTTTTCGATGCCTGCAAAATGAATCTTTTTTGATTTGAAAAAGAAAAATTGTGTAATCTTGCTAGCGTTAATTTCCTCTACCTGTTTCAAAAGTATTTGAAAATCAAGCGTTCAAGTTCATAAACATTTTTAGGCAAAAACTGCGCCTACGTGCTACAACTCAACAATGCGCTCGATTACGAGCGGAATATCACCTTTGCCTGGGCGGAAAAGTGGAGGGTAGATTCAGTTAACATACCCAAGACACGCCCTTATACGTTTTAGATAAAATCCACCGTATCCTGGCTGAAGCGACAACTGGATTTACTTGCTGATTTTAATTTACCTATATTAATTAACGTGCACCAAAGCGAGGGAGTGAGGATGGTGAAGATGAGGGAGTTGCTCAGCGATTGGTAAGTGGAATATGGTTTTAGACTTAGGCTTAGCTTTCGGCTTAGATTAGGCTTATCCCTAGGCTTAGGCTTAGGTTAGGGTTAGGCTCAGGTTGAGGCTTAGGCTTTAAAACCCGCCTTCTTCCAGGATTCTCTCATTACCGCCACACTTCAAGCGACCCAGAATCGCCGTTTTGTTTGCCCATATGCATGGGAAACACGAAGTACGCAACTACTGTTTACACGGCGTTACCGTACCTTTTTCATATGTTGGCAGTGTGCCAAATCAAAGGTATGAATCAGTTAGGATCTTAAAATCCGGTATTTTAGGTTTTCGATGCTGCGGATAGGTTCCGAAAAAAGTGATTTCTACGGGTTTGCCTCCAGTGTGATTGGTGGTCCGAGAGTTTTGGATAAAATTGAAGGTAAGTGAGAGAGAGAGATGGAGAGAGAGAGAGAGAGAGAGAGAGAGAGAGAGAGAGAGAGAGAGAGAGAGAGAGAGCTAGAGAGGGATAGGGTGCGATAGAAAGTGAGAGAGGGTGAGAGAGAGAGAGAT